GTAATTAAATATTAACACCTAATTGTATCTCAAAACAAAAAACCTTTGAATGAGTAAAAAGGATACATCTTCCTGAAAAGCAAGAAAAAAAAGTGCCAATCTTCTCAAATTAATGAAAACATTTAATTTAGCCTTAACACAAATAGTTTGTTTTTATTTTTTGGATCTTGACAAAACAATTTAACCTTTTATGAAGCAGCATACATAAGGACAATCACCTAGGAAATTTAGAAACACAGATAGTGAGCCACACATATTTGAGCTTACCATAGAGCAACTTACTGAGAACACAGTAGTGACGAATAAACAGAGAAGTCAGTGGAAAAAAACTGAGAGTGCCAATACAAATGCAAAGAGCATAGAAAAAAATATATATATATATGCAGTCAGTGCAAGAGATGAAGAATGGAATTAGGATCAAAAGGAGTTGGCACATTCGGCTATCCGTTGACAAAACTAATAGAATTGGATTTTTGCAATGTGTATTTAAAGGCCTCTTTGCAGAAAGAAAAAAAATAGCAACACTGGAAGAGTTGAAAAAATAAAACATGATGTGGAAAAATGGTTCTCCATTTCAGGTCAGGAAAGACATAAAGGAGTTGGGATCCAGAACTCTTATAAAAAAAAAACTTTTACAATTTAACTTCCTAAAATTGAAAATCCTTCTTGGCAAAAGACGAACAGCTCCTGGAAATTTATTCATAGCACATGTTTTAAAGTGGGATTAATATCCAAATAGAAGATTTTAAAAAACTAGTTGTAAAACAATTGATAGCCACATTAAAAATGACCAATAGATGAGAACAAGATATTATGAAGAAATGCAAATGCTCAATGCAAATCTCTGTGGAAAGTGGAAGCAAAAACCAAAGCAGTTACACTCAATGTTATGCCCAGAAATTTGACAAAACTTAAAAGTTGAATATCTGGAGCTGGAGAGCATGTAAAAGCAACAGCTCTCATACACTGCTGATCAAAGAGGATAGTCCTTAGGACTCGAAAGTTATTTAAACATAACATGAGATAGCATCTAACCAGCAGCTCTACTCCTAGGATGCTCCTAGGATACAAGGAAAACAGCAAGAAAGGGAAACACAAGAGCAGGCAGAAAACATTCTAGAAGAGTTGAAAAAATAAAACATGATGTGGAAGAAAAAATAAAGGAATGTGTTTTACACATTTACAGTATGGTTTACAGTCTGGTCCAAAGATGCGGAAAAAGTTTAAATATCTATCACTATTGGTTGATTCAAAAGAAAAACTGTTTAAAGTTTCAATGCAATTACTAAATGAACACATTACAAGTATTAGATTGTGAGCATGACTACAATACATTGCAAAGTGAAATACAAGGTGAAGAATTCATGTACATTTTATTATTAGATATTACTTATTTATACTTTTAAACCTTTATTTTTATTTATCCATTTCTATGTTGTGCTTAGGATTGAACACAGCACCTTGCACGTGCTAGGGGAGCACTCTACTTAGGATCGAACACAGCACCTTGCACGTGCTAGGGGAGCACTCTACTTAGGATCGAACACAGCACCTTGCATATCCTGGGAGAGCACTCGACTGCTGAGCCGCAACCGATGTTCCATTATTAGATATTACTTAATAAAACATGTGTAAACTTTGCTTTAGATACATGAATACATACAAAATAATTTCAAAAAAAGGAAATTATGCATAAAAAATTACTCAGAACACTTTCCTAAACAATTGGCAAAAAGGAATGTCTCACATGTGCTTCTTGGGATTTTTCTGTGGCAGATTTAGAGATTGAGCTTAGAAATGACACAAATCCCATCACTGATATGCACATAAATATCAATGAGGCCAGTTTTATAAAACTTGCTAACCCACAATGAATGAATAGAAACAAAACAATTGTTAACCCAGGAAAAAATTACAAATACAATGGATATTAATAAAGAATCACAGCTCAGGAAGGAGTCTTTCTTAACACCCAAAGCCAAGGTTCCCTCAGAGTACTAAGGGAGACACGCTTACCATGGCCAGTGGCTTCCCCTGGTGACAGTTGATTCCACCAATGAAGATCATGTTGGGCATCACAGGTCTGGGATAGTCCAAAACAAAGTCAGTTCGAAGCAACCAAATGGATACTTGGCTGAAGAGATCATATGGTGTGACAGGGGCTTGGAGAATTTCAGAGGCACTTTCCAAGGTGGTTTTCAAGAAATATGGGCAAAATAAATGCTCCGCTAAGTGGCTTATAAGGTTCTCTACTCTCTGCTTAAAAGTCATGGCATCTGAGAACCTCATTAAAAATCTGGGAATGTAGGACAGAGGACTGGGGCACTGAGCACCTTCTTCAAGGTAATGGCAGAATACTCCCCTGGTGAAGACCACAGATGGGAGTGAAAAGTACTTGGCAATAATTAGACCACACACGTCAAAAGGATCCATAAACACTGCATCAAAAGAGCTCTCCTGTAAGTATTCTACTAACTTCTTGTCATTAAACAAACTCCTACAGTGGGCAAAATGTAGTTCAAAAAACCCCTTGTTTGAATCCAATAATGCAGACACTAAATTTTCATCTGATTTTTTCATTTTATCCTCAGCAAAAACTTTAAACTCATGTTCCAAGTCCTCCAAAGTGTAAGAAGTTGAATAAGTCTTCACTGTAAAATTCAGTGACTGTCCCAGTTGCCAACTCACCTCTGGCATGACAGCAACCACCTCATGTCCTCTGTGGACTAGTGTCTCCACAACTGACCGCATGGTAAACCAGTGGCTGCCATCCATGGGCACCACCAGCAGCTTGCCTGCCTGGGCAGAGCCAGATGCCAGCAGCAGACACACACACAGAGGGAGGGTGGCAGGCAAAAGAGCAGGAGCCATGGGATAGCTGAGCCCCCGCAATCCAGCTGCTTGGACACAAAGCTCAAGGGATACAGTAGGCGGAAGTACAAGCATTTTATATACAGCAGTAATCCTGCATTTATCAATTCATAAAAATAATTATACACTGCCAGTAATTCACTCGGATAAGCAATGATTAATGAGTGACCTGTGTCGACATACCTGATGGGTATCCTTTCCAGAGAAGAATAGCTTATCATAATGTCAGGGGAGAATCACACCTCATTTAGCAATGTGAGAAAAGAAACACAATATAGAGCAATGACTTTGGACTTTACAACTCAAAAAGATGAAAGGAAAGTAAATATGAATCGATGCTGAACTGAGGTATTTTATCCAGAAGCAAAATTTGGTTTTATCTTCAGATTGCCAAAGGCTCTTTTCTCAGCAAGATATTGGCAACCCAGCTTCAAAGGAAACACTGAAGGTCCTCAGTCCTTCTCAGTGGCAGGAGCTTTATTCACAAACAAAAATGCCCTGGATCAACCTTTCTACACTTCCTGTTCTGTTTAACCCAGGTTTCGTGATCCATTTCCAAACCTTCTGAGACCTCTAAAATGGTACAATAGAATTTAGAGCATCGCGGACCATGCCAGGGATTACTTTTATGCTTATGTTCAGGTGTCAGTATAGAATTAACATTAGGTTTACCCCATGAGTTTGGATACATATATTTGTGTAAATGAATATATACACATACACACACACACACACACACACACACAACACACACACATATATATTTGCCAATATGTAGGGTTAGGTTTAGGGTTTGGGTTAGAATTAGAATAGTGTTTTTCTTATTTGTTTTTTTTTTAATTATAGGTGACAGTGGAACATATCTTGACAATCATACATACATGGAGTATAACTTCATTCTTGTGGTTATACATGATGTGGAGCACACTGGTCATGTATTCATATATGAACATAGGAAAGTTACTTTTGATTCATTCTACTGTCTTTTCAATTCTCATTCCCATCCCCATTCCAGAGATTTGATCCTCTGTGGCTACCATCTTTGGTAGCTCACTTTCTCTTGACACCTCCAGAACAGTAGGTCATCACCTACTCAGTGCTGGCCTCACCATTATGCTGATGCCTCTGGCTTTCTGAATGATTTCATGTATGGCCAGAGATTTGGACCTCTGCCATGGGCCCACGACCCATGGCCCTCCCTCAGGGATCAGTGTGCTTGTGTCCCACACTCCACTGAGCACTCCTGTCACACAGGACAGACATTCTTCGTGTTCTCACCCTCCTCCCACAGGACCCACACCATGCCCTGCACAGAGAAAGAACACAAGCACAGTTAGCTGTACTGGACTCAACTGCACTGGGTAAAGAACATTCTATGGAAGGCCTTTGATGTCCTCCCATATAAAGAAAGCAAGCCCAGGCTCCATTTTCTTCTTTTTAGTGTGGAACCTCCATCCATGTGATTGGCTAGCATATTCTGCCCTAATTTTAAAAAATATTTCCTGTATTCTGTTGGTTTTTTTTCATCACTCTATTTTTCTTAGCATATAGTACTCAGCCAGCCCATTCCACCGAGGGGAACCCCATTACCACCACTGGTGCAGCACGTGGGCAAGGAAGAACTAAACATACAGCTGAAAGGCTTGATGCTGTTGCTGCCTCTTGCCCAGAAACACACAGGTAACACAGCTGAGGTTTGAGTATCCACTATGCCTCCCAATACCTGCTGTAATCCAGAGCTAGAAGGCCCAGCAAGAAATCCCTCCATCTCAAATACCTTAAAAAAGACTAACTTCAGATTCCTTAATGCTAGTTTTTTTCTCATTTCACTATTATTATTATCTGTTTTGATTTGATAGCACTCCCCTCACTATTTGATATTGCACTCCTTAGTTCAAGTTTATGCATGCTTTTCTTTAATGTAATGTGCTACTTGGAAGTCTGTGTCATGCTCTCAGCATACACTGAAGATGAGAGAAGCTAATGAGCAGAAACACCAGCAATCTGCACATAAGCCTCTGATGCCAGGATTCAGAGAGCTGCAGACAGGTAAGCACTAAGGCAAGTGGAGACTCCACCTGGGCTACCTGTTACCAAAGTATCACAGGAAAGAAAACAATTGAGGTGCTCCCGGAAGGATCCTCAAAGTCTACCGCATGTTTCTTCACCCATCTTAGAGACTGGACGGCTGTCACGAGCCATGCATGAGATGTGTGTGTGGAATATTGTGCATAGTAGCCAAATGAGGGGATACGTCTGGGAACTCCCTGTCAGGGACTGATCACGTGATGCAGGTGAGCTTCCTCCTCTAGCTCTGCCTAAGACCCTGAACAGCACCTGAGATGGGTGTGACTTGCCAAGATGGCAATCAGTCTGCTGACCACAAGACATCACAAAGAAAGACTCCATCCTGGAAACCTTATTCCTGCCTCTGATGTGTCACATACTTTATATACAACCAGAGATATGAAGAATCATGCTGTATATGTGTGATAAGAATTGTAATGCATTCTGCTGTCATTTTTTCTTTAATTATTGATTTTTTGTTTTTTTAAATAAATGACAGCGGAATGCATTTCAATTCTTATTACATGTATAAAGCACAGTTTTTCATACCTCTGGTTGTATATAAAGTATGTTGACACCAATTCATGTCTTCATACATGTATTTTGGATGATGATGTCATCACATTCCACCATCTTTACTAATACCCTGCCCCTCCCTTTCCCTCCCACTCCTCTGCCCTATCTAGAGTTCTTCAATTCCTCCCATGCTCCCCCTCCCTACCCCACTGAGTCAGCCTCCTTATATCTGAGAAAACATCCAGAATTTGTTTTTTTGGGATTGGCTAACTTCATTTAGCATTATCTTCTCCAAAGTCATCCATTTACCCGCAAATGCCATGATTTTATTCTCTTATTGCTGAGTAATATTCGTTTATGTATATATGCCATATTTTTTAAATCTATTCATCCACTGAAGGGCATCTAGTTTGGCTCCACACTTGAACTATTGTGAATTATGCTGCTATAGGCATGGATGTGGCTGTGTCCCTGTAGTATGTTGTTTTTAAGTCTTTGGGGAATAAACCGAGGAGAGGGATAGCCAGGTCAAATAGTGGTTCCATTCCCAGTTTTCCAAGGAATCTCCATAGTGCTTTCCATATTGGCTGCAGTAATTTTCAGTCCCACCAGCAATGTATGAATGTGCCTTTTTCCCCACATCCTTGCCAACACTTATTGTTGTTTGTCTTCATAATAGCTGCCATTCTGACTGGAGTGAGATGATATCTCACTCTGTTTTGATTTACATTTCTCTAATTGCTAGAAATGATGAAAATTTTTCATGTATTTGTTGATTGTCTATCCTCTTCTGAGAAGTGTCTGTTCAGGTCCTTGGCCCATTTGTTGATTGGATTATTTGGGGTTTTTGGTGCTTAGCTTTTTTAGTTCTTTATATATCCTAGAGATTAGTGATCTATCTCATGTGTGAGGGGTAAAAATTTGTTCCCAGGATGTAGGTTCTCTGTTCACCTCACAGATTGTTTCTTTTGCTGGGAAGAAACCTTTTAGCTTGATTCCATCCCATTTATTGATTCTTGGTTTTAATTCTTGTGCTATAGGAGTCTCATTAAGAAAGTTGGGGGGCAGGGGATATGGCTCAAGCAGTAGGACGCTCGCCTGGCATGCATGAGGCCCTGGTTCGATCCTCAGCACCACATACAAACAAAAGTGTTGTGTCCTAAAAAAAATAAATAAATATTGAAAAAAATTCTCTTTCTCTCTCTCTCTCTCTCTCTCTCTCTCTCTCTCTCTCTCTCTCTCTCTCTCAAAACAAACAAAAAAAAAGTTGGGGCCTAATCGCACATGATGAAGATAAGGGCCTACTTTTTCTTCTATTAGACACAGAGTCTCTGGTTTAATTCCTAGGTCCTTGATCCACTTTGAATTGAGTTTTGTGCAGCGTGAGAGATAGGGGTTTAATTTCATTTTGTTGCATATGGATTTCCAGTTTTCCCAGTACCATTTGTTGAAGAGGCTACCTTTTCTCCAATGCATGTTCTTGGCAACTTTGTCTAATATAAGATAATTATAGTTTTGTGAGGTAGTCTCTGTGTCCTCTATTCTTTACTAGTAAATGAATTCTGCAAAGTAGCAGGATATAAAATCAACACCCATCAATCAAAAGCATTTCTGTATATCAGTGACAAATCCTCAGAAAGGTAAATGAAGAAAACGACTTCATTTACAATAACTTCAAAAAAATTAAGATACCTGGGAATCAAATTAACAAAAGAGGTAAAAGATCTATATAACAAAAACTACAGAACCCTAAAGAGAGAAATCAAAGAAGACCTTAGAAGAGGGAAAGATCTACCTTGGTCTTGGGTAGGCAAAATTAATATTATCAAAATGACCATACTACCAAAAGCACTATACAGATTTAATGCAATTCTGATCAGAATCCCAATGGCATTTCACTGTCATTTATTTTTTAAAAATCATTTTAAAAAACAGCTGAATATGTGTGGATTTATATCAACATTCTCAATAGTATCCTGTTTGTGTGTAAGAGACAATTTTTGAGATTCCTGAGGAAATTTATTTATGCTCTGGAAATCAGAAAATATGCAATAATAATATTTTAATAATATATTTCAGTTTTTTCTACTACATGGAGTTTTAGGTTGTCATAAATTTCCTTTAAAAAATGACAGACTAAGTGGTTTTTAAAGAAAGAAGAAAAGCATACAAATGAATTATCAGAGCAAATAATATATTGCAAAAATATTGAAAATTATTTTACTTAAGGATAGATATAAGAGAGTTCATCACAATACAGTCTCTTCATTGTGTATGCTTGAAAACTTCACTAAAAAGTTGAAAAATATCATTTCAGCAAGAAGCTAGGGACTTACACATGAATAGCTATATTTAAAACTGGATTTTGGGAATAGAGCCAGAATATGAGAGAATTCAGGGAAGCCCAAACCTTTTAT